AAAGAGAGAGAGAGAGAGAGAGAGAGAGAGAGAGAGAGAGAGGGGGGGGGATTCTTAAGCAACTGAGATAATAGATAATAACATGATTTTCTGAGGATACACAATAATCAAGTCACGAATTATCGAGACTTTTGAAGCTCGAATCGCGGTGAATCACCACGGAGATCAGGGGTGACAAAGTGGTATCATTCAATTCCCAGTCTATTCTAAACTGTCCCCACTTTGTAAAGATCCTTTCGGGCCGTAGGCGTTTTCTCCATTGCTCGAATTCGACCCATTTGCTCCACTTTAAATACAACACCTCCTTTCTTTCATTAAGTTAGGACTGTCATTCGCTTCCCCTCTCTATACGCTTTACTTTGGTAATTCTTCGCCTCCTTCTTTTTGTGGCTGAGCTCGGAGGTTTCTTTTCTGAGCCTTCCTTTTCGATGACCGATTTTAATCAAAGGCAGTCCACGGTCGGGCATTGAGACAGGCAGGGCCTTTCATATATTGGTGATAATATTAATATTATAATTGTAAAGCGCATAGAAATAATATACTGGAGAGAGTGGATATGCACCCTATAGTTGCGATTATTATTTTTATTATTAAAAGTATTATGCAGCACGTTGTAGGCAGGCTCTACGCATAAGTATAGCTTGCGAACCCCTAGAGGAAGTTTGCGTTAGGAAAATAGGAGGATTGTAAAAAAAAAAAATAGGTTGAAGCCTTTTACACCTGGCCCAAACAGCCCCAATAAGTTTGATTATAACAGAGATCTTGATAAAATGTGAAACCTATAGCGAAAGTAGGCAGTTTATGTTAGTTTATCACTCTATAAAGTCGTGCTTTGAATGACTAATCAGGACACTCCCAGTTTGACTATTTTGACTGAGTTTGTCAGAGAAAAATCAGTTGCATTGGTTCTACAGTGGTTCAAAACGATTGAAACGGTGAGTAGGCCTAGTGTCATTTCTCAGGAAGCAGTAGCTCTTTATTTCTGTATTGAACAAATACCTGCCTATGACGTAGTTATATCCATCTTCACACCAATCGGATGTTTTCAATATTGGCTACTGATTGATTTTTTTTCTAATAACGTTTCACTTGTCAGTATACTGTAGAAGAACGCGAGCACACCAACTACTATACAATAATATGATACATGTACAGCATTATAAATATAGATAGAATTTGTGTAGCGCAAATCTCTGCTCATCAGCAAGCTCTATGCGCTTCACAACTTATATAGCCTACTATTACTCCAGCAGACCTGAGAGTATTCTAAAACAATCTCAACTTCCTGGGAAGCATACAGGGCAAGTGGCCATTTATAGGCGCCAAAACACTAACATACTGACAAGAACTTCGCTGTCTATGCCCGGGTACCCATTCCCCCATGGATGAAGTGAGGAAAATTCGTGTAAAGTGCCTTTCTCAAGGACACAGCGTAGGGCCCGCTGCTCGAACCCCCGAACCCGCAACCCCACGATTACGAGTCTGTCCGTCTTTCTTACACCCCCACCCCCTAACCTATCTATCTATCTCTATCTATCTATCTATCTATCTAGTCTCTCTCTTCTCGGTGCGTGTTTTTCCTTCTCGGTTCTGAACCATCATCAGTTTTCGATTTGTCAAAAACTACAGGACACTATAACGGTTAAAAGTTATCCAGCCCTTCCCCGATAAAAGCAAGGAAATGGACGAAAAAGCGTGCATCCTAGTCGTTTCCAAGTAGAAGTTAAGTACCACCC